CCCGAAGACCAGTCTGCACCTATGGACTTGGCCCAGGTGTTCCTGGTCAAACCTGTCTCCCATGCAAACTTGAGGAAGCCAGAACCCAAATCTCCCACCCCACCTTTCCCTGGGTCTGAGCACTCACGGGGGGACACTGTGCCAGCTTCTCCGAGGCTGCTATTTGGACATTGAGGTGTTTGGACTGAGACTTCCCTCGAGATTTGATGAGCCTCTGAAGTACCTGGTTTGGGGGAAGAAGAGGAGCTAGAGGGAGTCTGCAAGTCAGCAAGGCAGGACCTGGTTGGAGCCAGTGTAGAAAGCCAGTGTCAGGGCCGGAGGATGTTCGATGACTCTCTGCCCTGGCCACCTCTTTAGAAACTACCCCACCAGCTCTGTGAAGTGATTTCCAAAGCTCTGGATATCCTACACAACACTCAGGCTTTCTTCTGGATCTCATACCAGCCTGTCCTGGGAATTTCTCCTAGCAGTGGCTATGTGAAGGGCAGTGATTGTCATTCCCAGCCCCTCTAACCTTCTTGACAGGCTTCATCCTCAGGGCTAACTTCCCCTGCATGTTAACAACAGCCATGCTTTATGGGGTACTTGCTATGGACTGGCGCTATTCAGTGCTTTATACATGATCAATTCACTTAGTCTCGATGATATTCCCATTAGGTAAGCACTATTATCATTCTCACTCGATAATAATATTAGTATTAAATAATAATAATAATGCTTCAGGGGTCTCTGAAGCATTATGATGATGATGATGATGATAATATAATGATGATGTTATTATTATCAATTACTATTGCCAATAATCCCATCAGCTAACAATTATTATTATCTTCACTCAATAATAATAATGATTACAATAGCTACAACAAAGCCACAACCTTAACTAAGTGATCAAACCAACATCATGTGCCTCCTGATGCAATGCACTCAGAAGGACACATCACTTTTGTGATATTCTGACCCAAAATGCAAAACCTAAATCCTGTCATGAAGAAAACATCAGACAAACCAACAGTAAGTAACAGTCTACAAAATAAGTGACCTATACATACTCTTCAAAAATGTCAGTGTCATGAAAATCCAAGAAAGGTTGAGGAACCGTTCCAGCTTAAAGAGTACTAAAGAGAAATAACAATTAAATGTAACACAGAATCCTAGATTGAGGAAGAAACTGCCATAAAGGACATTATTGGGACAATTGGTAAAAAATGAAGATGGACTGTGTTTTTGAAAACATTTCTTGAATTTGACAATTATACTGTGGTTAAGTTAATGTCCTTCTTCTTAAGAACTACATGTTGAAGTATTTAGGCCTAAAGGCATACAATACCTACAGCTTACTCTCAAATGGTTATGTATATAATATATACATACAGAAAGCTAAAAAAAGATAAAACAAATGTAGCAAAATGTTCAAAATTTGTGAATTTTAAAAAAATTGAATCGTATACTTTAAATGGCTGAATTGAACAGTATGTGAATTGTATCTCAATAAAGCTGTTAACGAATTAGTGAATCTGAGTAAAGGGTATTCAAAGCATGACAGTTCTCTGTACTGTTCTTGCAACTCTTTCATAAATGTGAAATTACTTTAAAATAAAAATCTTTTAAAAAAATAGAGTAGATATAGTGCTGAGGAGGTACTAGCCGCTTTGAATGGTTAATCCGTTTATTTAATCTTCACTACCACCATTTGAAGATCCCCATTTTGCAGATGAGGAAACTGAGGCATAGAGATATTAGGTGACTTGCCAAAGGATCACAGTGTTGGTAGTGGCAGCACTGGGACATAAACCCAGGTAGTCTCGACTCTCAAAGAGTCCCTACCCTTAACCTCAATCAGTGTTCTTCCATGGGGGAAATGGATGTATCTATGACTTTCTAGTTCACAAAGTATTTTTGTATCCAGTATCTCATTTGTTCCTTTCAATGACCTCAAGAAGTACTTAGATCCTATCATCCCCTTTCTGCTCATTAAAAACTTAGGACTCAGAAAGGTCATGGTTAAGTAACTGGTGCTCGGTTCACAGGGTGCTATCATGGATGATAACACCTCTAGTTGCCATCATGAAGCAGAATTCTGGGCTCTTTACACCATTACCTCGAATCCTCTCAACAACAGCACAGAGAGGAATTTATAATCCCCATTCTATAGCTGAAGAAACTGAAGATAAGAGGCCTCAGTTTCAATCACTACCAAAAAAAAAAAAAAAACCCACAACAAAATCTAATTAATTAATAAGCCAAAAACTAGAGCCAGGACTGGAACCCCATGCTGTCTTCTAACTTCAAATCTGTCGCCTAAACTCACCCTCCATGTTCCTCAAACTCCCACTAATACCTTAGGAGGAAAGCTAAAGGGGCTACGATATGACAAAGAAGTCAATCAACCCTCCTACAAATTTCATCTCTTTCAAAGTCCAAATGAGAACAGTGAAGCAAAAAGAGCTGAAATCAAAAGACAGGAAAGACCTCCCAACTGTCAAATAGCTGGGTGACACTGGGGTAACAAGCTCATAATTCTTTGTTTTCAGGACCAAAGATGGGAGGTCAAGCAGAGTGGAGACAGGGGATTGGCCTGCATGACTCTAATAATAATACTTATATTATTAATTATATAATATTGATAGCTAATACGTGATGAGGTACATTACACCAGACCCTTTACTAAATGCTAAGTATTTACATTAGGTTAAATCTTCACAATATCTATACGATGGGCGTTTTACAGAGAAGAAAAGTCAGGCCGGAGAGACTGTCACATGATTAGTAAGCAGCAGCTGGGATTTAAACAGGCAGGTTGACTCCTGAGCGCTCCTGTCCCCACTAGGGTCAGGTTCCTGCACCCACCTTGGGAGAGGTGATCTTGATGTAAACAATGATGGGGGCCAGTGAGGTCTTGGAAAGCTGGGCAGGGTGGTTGATGGTGTCAGCGTCCAAAGCAACCAACTGAAGGGTCCGTGCCAGCTCGAAGATTCGCTCGATCTCACTCTGAACCTCAGCTAGGGGACATGGAGTCATAGGGAAGGGGGAATGTAAGGGAGTCCCTCCAGGACCCAGCGGGTAGAGAGAATACTTCTGGAGATGTCCTCCCCACCCTCTCTCCCCTCCCACATCTGGCCCCAGAGAGGGGGTTTGAGGGGTGAGCTCACCCAGGCTGGAGCGTGTGTTGGAGCGCTCGATGATGATGTGTTTGCTGGGGTTGTTGAGGACTGAACGCTTAGCCAGGGAAATGTCTGCTGTAACACGAGTGATGGAGATCCTGGGGACGGGGCAAAGGGATTCAGGGGTCAGGGTGGGTGAGGATGTCCTGCCCACTCCCCAGGCTCCAAGACTGCCTCCTATCCCTCAGTCCAAGTGTCCCAAGATCCTGCCCATCCCAGCAGCAGAGGACCACAGTGGGAGTGGGAAGGTAGCTCCCAGGGTCTTACCTGCCATCAAACCGATGCTTCAAGAAGTCAAATAAAGCTTTCTGCATCATGTCTGTAACCTGAGGGTGGTGGTTGGCGTGGAGGAGGAAAAGTCAGACATTTAAAGCCACTCAGAAAGGGTGGGCTGATGGGTATTTGCACCCTCACGTTCCATTTTCTTCTTAAATTCCTGAGATAAATGGGCCCCTGGCCAGGAAGGGGAGGTCCTTCTGAGTCTGAGGGACCTCCAATGGGCTCTCTGATTCCAAAGGTCCTTCTTTCTAGGTGGTATCTCTGGGAGGACTCTTATAGGGGGTAGGGTTGGGAGGGACTAGACCCTTCTGAGTAGGTCTCCCTGTGGGTTGGGCCCTCTGGGGAATTTCTTCCCTTCCAGGGAAGACACCCTGGGAACCTGGGTCCTTCTAGGGGACCTCTCTGGGATCTGAAGCCCTTTTTGGAGCCTCCCTGGAGATCTGGGTCCCTCTGGGTCCTCTCCCTTCTAGGGGCACCTACCTCATAGCCCTTGAGCGATGGTCCCACCAGGATGATGGGCCTCATGGAAGGCACCACGTCATAGGGGGGCACATGCTCTGTCTGGAGGGGAAGCAGGGAGGGGAAACCCCAAAGTGGAGATGGCATTAGCCCCTCTCTCCCAGCCTCCAGGCTCCCCCATGCATCCTTTCCTCCCCCTGGTCCCAGAGCCCAGATGTGGGGATCAGGGTGGGGGTGGGGAGGGATGGCCAGGGAGAACCAGGAAAGGTGGGGGAAATGGGGGGGCAGATATGGGAATGGGTGTTAGAAGGTCCCCTTAGCTCGTCCCAGAGGGTGGAGAGGGGGGACACAGAAAGCTGTGATACTCACCGACTTTTGCTTCTGTTTGGCTGGGTCCAGAGATTGCCAAGAGGGGGGAGGGGGAGGAGAGAGGGGAAGGCACCCAGGCAGGGGCAGAAGGCAAGGAAAGAGCCAGGACAAGAGAGGGAGGGAAAGCGGGCAGACGAGGAGAGATAACAGGGCATGCGTGTTAGTGACAGACAGAGCCAGAGAGGGGGTGGGACCCCATGCCAAGGGGGAGTCAGAGATGGCCCCGGATCAGGGCTGGGAGCAGGACTGATATATCGTCCAGTGAACTTGGGAATATTCAGACATACTAAGACCCCCTTTCTTTGTCTTGAAAAAGAGCTGAGAAGGGTGACAGCCCCTAATTTGGTGCCTATCTCCTGCCCCCAGTACAGGCCAACCAGTCCATTTTAAGGGTTCCCTTAACTATCCTGCTCTGCAGCCAGTAGACCCCCACATGCCCACCCTAGTCCCATGGAATCCGAAAAGGGCAAAGAAAGGTCACCATTTCACTCTCCCCTTCACATGCAGGGGTAGAGGACAAATGTGGAATATTCTACTGGGTAGCAAGGGGAAAGGTCAGGTTTCATTATCACCAGACCCCGCTTCCAGTGTGTGTGTGTGTGACGGGGGAGGCAGCCTTCCAAGGGAAGGGGTGCTTCGACTGCAAGCACCATTCCTTCCTGCAGAGTGGGCCAGGGTGGGGTTATGTGTAGAAATGGATGTGCCTGTCCTCTGTGCCATCCTACCCCTCCCTCCTCCTTAGCAGGACCTTAACCTC